AATCGCCAATTTTTTTCGAAAATTTTTTCTTCCAAAAACCTCTTTATTCAATTAGAAAACATCCGAATCAATAAGAAAATAGTTTAGTTTTCAAATTAAAGTCGTTTTTTTGAAAAAATAAGCACTTTTCAGAACCGTCGTTTTTCGAAAAAAAGTAAGGCTATAGGCTTAGGAAAATCGCCAATTTTTTTCGAAAATTTTTTCTTGCAAAAACCTCTTAATTCAATCAGAAAAGATCAGAATCAATAAGAAAATAGTTTAGTTTTCAAATTAAAGTCGTTTTTTTAAAAAAATAAGCACTTTTTAGAACCGTCGTTTTTCGAAAAAAAGTAAGGCTATAGGCTTAGGAAAATCGCCAATTTTTTTCGAAAATTTTTTCTTCCAAAAACCTCTTTATTCAATTAGAAAAGATCCGAATCAATAAGAAAATAGTTTAGTTTTCAAATTAAAGTCGTTTTTTTGAAAAAATAAGCACTTTTTAGAACCGTCGTTTTTCGAAAAAAAGTAAGGCTATAGGCTTAGGAAAATCGCCAATTTTTTTCGAAAATTTTTTCTTGCAAAAACCTCTTAATTCAATCAGAAAAGATCCGAATCAATAAGAAAATAGTTTAGTTTTTAAATTAAAGTCGTTTTTTTGAAAAAATAAGCACTTTTTAGAACCGTCGTTTTTCGAAAAAAAGTAAGGCTATAGGCTTAGGAAAATCGCCAATTTTTTTCAAAAATTTTTTCTTGCAAAAACCTCTTTATTCAATTAGAAAAGATCCGAATCAATAAGAAAATAGTTTAGTTTTGAAATTAAAGTCGTTTTTTTTGAAAAAATAAGCACTTTTTAGAACCGTCGTTTTTCGAAAAAAAGTAAGGCTATAGGCTTAGGAAAATCGCCAATTTTTTTCGAAAATTTTTTCTTGCAAAAACCTCTTTATTCAATTAGAAAAGATCCGAATCAATAAGAAAATAGTTTAGTTTTCAAATTAAAGTCGTTTTTTTGAAAAATAAGCACTTTTCAGAACCGTCGTTTTTCGAAAAAAAGTAAGGCTATAGGCTTAGGAAAATCGCCAATTTTTTTCGAAAATTTTTTCTTCCAAAAACCTCTTTATTCAATTAGAAAAGATCCGAATCAATAAGAAAATAGTTTAGTTTTGAAATTGAAGTCGTTTTTTTGAAAAAATAAGCACTTTTTAGAACCGTCGTTTTTCGAAAAAAAGTAAGGCGATAAGCTTAGGAAAATCGCCAATTTTTTTCGAAAAATTTTTTCTTGCAAAAACCTCTTTATTCAATTAGAAAAGATCCGAATCAATAAGAAAATAGTTTAGTTTTCAAATTAAAGTCGTTTTTTTGAAAAAATAAGCACTTTTCAGAACCGTCGTTTTTCGAAAAAAAGTAAGGCTATAGGCTTAGGAAAATCGCCAATTTTTTTCCAAAATTTTTTCTTCCAAAAACCTCTTAATTCAATCAGAAAAGATCAGAATCAATAAGAAAATAGTTTAGTTTTGAAATTAAAGTCGTTTTTTTAAAAAAATAAGCACTTTTTAGAACCGTCGTTTTTCGAAAAAAAGTAAGGCTATAGGCTTAGGAAAATCGCCAATTTTTTTCGAAAATTTTTTCTTCCAAAAACCTCTTTATTCCATTAGAAAAGATCCGAATCAATAAGAAAATAGTTTAGTTTTCAAATTAAAGTCGTTTTTTTTGAAAAAATAAGCACTTTTTAGAACTATCGTTTTTCGAAAAAAGTAAGGCTATAGGCTTAGGAAAATCGCCAATTTTTTTCGAAAATTTTTTCTTCCAAAAACCCCTTTATTCAATTAAAAAACATCCGAATCAATAAGAAAATAGTTTAGTTTTAAAATTGAAGTCGTTTTTTTGAAAAAATAAGCACTTTTTAGAACCGTCGTTTTTCGAAAAAAAGTAAGGCTATAGGCTTAGGAAAATCGCCAATTTTTTTCCAAAATTTTTTCTTGCAAAAACCTCTTAATTCAATCAGAAAAGATCAGAATCAATAAGAAACTATTTTAGTTTTGAAATTGAAGTCGTTTTTTAAAAAAATAAGCACTTTTTAGAACCGTCGTTTTTCGAAAAAAAGTAAGGCTATAAGCTTAGGAAAATCGCCAATTTTTTTCGAAAATTTTTTCTTGCTAAAACCTCTTTATTCAATTAGAAAAGATCCGAATCAATAAGAAATTAGTTAAGTTTTGAAATTGAAGTCGTTTTTTTGAAAAAGTACGCACTTTTTAGAACCGTCGTTTTTCGTAAAAAGTAAGGCTATAAGCTTAGGAAAATCGCCAATGTTTTTCCAAAATTTTTTTTTCCTAAAACCTCTTTATTCAATTAGAAAAGATACGAATCAATAAGAAATTAGTTTAGTTTTGAAATTAAAGTCGTTTTTTTGAAAAAATAAGCACTTTTTAGAACCGTCGTTTTTCGAAAAAAAGTAAGGCTATAGGCTTAGGAAAATCGCCAATTTTCTTCCAAAGTTTTTTCTTGCAAAAACCTCTTTATTCAATTAAAAAAGATCCGAATCAATAAGAAATTAGTTTAGTTTTGAAATTAAAGTTGTTTTTTTTGAAAAATTAAGCATGTTTTAGAACCGTCGTTTTTCGAAAAAAAGTAAGGCTATAGGCTTAGGAAGTGCCAATTGTTTTACAAAACTTTTTCTTGTTAAATATTTTCTTTTCTAATTTTCTTGTCTCAGTTAAATATTAAAGACGTTTACATCGAATGAGGTGTCCTTTATTCCATTTGAAAAAAATATTCCGTTTAAATGACGTGTAGCATAGAGTTTGAAGGAAATAATCAAGTATCAAAGAAAACTTTAGAAAGATTGAGAAAATTTTAGGGTCTGTTAGATTTTCCTCTTCAAAAATATAAACAACATACTCGATCTAGAGAGCAACGTAATCTTCGAGCGTAGAGAAAAACTCCGCTGTTTATGCTCGCACGGAATCAACAATTTGCGTTGAAAAATATCTGCTTGAATTAAACTATTACAAAGTGAAGAATGGGCGGATGGAATTCGAAGTACAATAATTGCATTTTCTAGAGTTAAAGTTTGAGTTTGAATGAGATACCTTTTTAGGTTCACTTTGCTTTCCATTATTTCCAATAATCCGCTTGGGTCGGCAAGTTGGACAGGCGTCACGCAGCCATGTTTGTTTTCGGAGACAATCTCGTATCAGAATTCTCCTTCGTTGCGTCTATTCATATGGTAGTTAGCCTAGAAGTCACAAATTTTGAGCATCAACTTTGGTATATTTCTTTAGAACTGAGTACTGAGTTGAAATATTTAGAAGCCTTTATTACACATCGATGGCATGAGCTACTGCAGAGTGGTAGGCCAATGGCCGTTACCCATAAACCCATGCCCCTCTTTCCTCAATTCAGTGCTTTATACCAGTTGAAATTGCTAGAAAATAGATTAGATTACCTGGACAGCTGTTTAGATTAGCTGGACACTACTGGAAAAACAGGAGTCATTCTTCATCCTAGAAACGAGAGTCATTAAACTCAGAGGGTGGGGAGGGGGTGGGGGTGACGAGCCAACAGGTCCCCCTTTTCAAAGGATGGATTACTTAGTTCAAAACGCATTTAAATGTCATATGCTCTTAGCACAAAATTGACTTTTCCTTTTTCAAATATAAACAAAGCATCAATGATAAGAAACAGAATTAAGAAATGAAAAAGAGAAAGAAAAGGTTTTAGATATCAATGGATAACATGTCAACAATCAGTTTGTCATCTAAACCATAATTTGGATCTTATATACGGATACTCAATGCCACAACAAAAATTGAAGGCCTAAAAAATTTAACGAAAAGAACAATTTTCTCATGGTCAATCCCAGTAGTTTTCGATGAAGATATGTTTTCTTCTACCACAAAACACTTTTCAAATGGAACCCTTTTTCTGAAACATCTCATTGACCAGCAATGCCCAGAATACGTAAAACAAACGAAACACATTTATATCACGGCTCAGGACATTTCTATAAAAAATACAAACACCAATATGAAATAGTAAATTATACAAAAATTCACATTCAAAATATTTGCAAATACTTCTCTCTTTATTTTACAATTTGTACATTTTGACTTTATAAAAAATGTAAGTGATGGTCGAAGGTTCTAATAGATTCTACCATACGAACAAAATCCCGTCTCAGAAAATGCTTTTCATTTAACAGCAATGGCTAACTGATGGGCCTAGACGCTAGACTAAAGAAAACCAGAAGCAGTCATCCTTAAAAGGAAGAAAGTCTGCAAGTGTCATTGATAGTTGCAAATATTTACTGTTAGGCCAAATATGCGCAGATTGCAAGTATTCTTCACTTTCTATAGGTTTTATCAATATGGCAGCGCATCCTTTTCACTCCATAGCAACGACCCTAGGTGGGTTGTCTTAGAACGAAAGGTTACGAAATGTAATACTAGTGACGTCACAAAGGTGATAATGATCAACAGAGTATAAGCCAGAGACTTAAGCCAGAGACTTGACTTTGAAATTAAAAGTTGGCTTTGAATAGATCTTTTGTTTTTACATTTGTTAATGACACAAGCTTGAATCACTGGTAGCAACTTTTTGTCTGTCAAAGGTTCCCTGTTTAGAAAATTTTGCTGAGGGATAACAAAGCTTGAAAATGATGAATTTTTGCCATGACACTGACAACTGTATCGTGAGCCACAACAGTAAAAATATTGGTCTGCAACGTCCAATATAATACTTGACTTTTTCTTTAAATGTATTGCAAGTTTAGGTTTATAAGCAATATGTAGATAAATCTAAAATTGTTGGGGAGACGAAATAAGTTAAAGGCATTTGTCGAATAAGCCATTTGCTGTACTTAAAAGCATTTTTTGTACAGTTGAAGGAGATATGGTTCCAATCTTTCTTCCCCAACAAGATACTTCAACAGGAAGTCTTGAAAAGTTCAATTGAGCATCTCGCTTTGATTTGTGATATCGGGTTCGTGGTTAGTGGGAGGAGTTCTAGTTCAGTGATACGATCTATCACACCAAAAACTGTTTCACATAACTATAAAATTATCGATAAATAAAACAATCACGTCTATTTTGTTATCTTTATCAATTTCAATGTATCTGAACAAACAACTCGCAGATATTGTTGACGAAAAACGTCTAGCTCTTCTTTTGAAATCGTATAGGTTGTTGTGAAACAAAATGGAGTAGGGACATCTTTTCATAAAGTCATGACACAACGTGGCTCAACTCAGGGCTTACTCGAGACCACGAACAATGAGTGGATGAGCTGCAATAGATTAGAGGCAATTGGCCACAGATTATTATCCCACTCCCTTCCAGAAACATGACGTTTCTCTTTGTCAGTAGTTGACAACGGCGTTATGCAGAAAGGATTTAAACGGTTAGAGTCCGTCGACTGAGCCTCGGCGTCATCATGACAGAACTTATAGTGTCCTTCATGAACTGTCGAATCGTTGTCTTTGGACTACCTGGTCCACTGCTTGATAACGATTCATTTGAAATTGAAAGTCTTCTACTCGCATCGTGTTGTTTCGCTTTCTCCACTACTAGAGCTTCGACAAGTAATTTCATAATGGTATTGTATACATTCTCGTAACCCTCCGCTGCCGAAACTTCGTTGAACCGTACGCCGTAATGCACCGAAAGTCGTTTACCCTCCTTTGAAGAGACCTCCCGCAAATGTCCTAGGTCTTCTTTGTTCCCAAGTAATAAAGTACATCCCTGCTCCAGTGGTTTCGATTCGTGAATCATTTGCAAAATTTTTTCGGCATCAAGAAAACTTTGTCTACTTGTAACTGAATAAACAACAATTATGGCTGATGCCCAGTTTATCAGTTTCTTTGGCTCTGTCATCCAATACTAAAATAAAAAAAAACTCGCGTTAAAGAAAAAGTTTGAAAGAAGTGAAAGATTGATCGTTAAGGAATATATTTGAAAGAAGCCTAGGTTTCTCTCGCCTTGATTCTGTTGCTTAAAAGTTGGACAAGAATTCACATGAAAAATATTTTGAAACTCGAATATAAGCAACAAAACTACACTGTGTGAGAAGGCAGCAAAAGAACTTTGTTCATCCATGTATGTTACAAAATTACATCAATGCACCAATTTGGTTTAGAAACTTCGCCTCTTTGACCACAAAGGGATGTTGTTAATTGGTTGTGCTTTACTTCTGAGGCGATGGATATGCGACATACATTCAAAGAGGGGATACAAGAAAAGGAGATTCGGCATAGTAATAAACTGGCATCAAAATTTTTATACCAGGTTAAGTTCTTGAAAAAGAGCCATTTTTTCAGTGCCAGACAGTTGAATGTTTATTATTCTGTCACTTTTTGATGACATGATAGGCTCAAGTGTTTCTATTCTGCGTATAAGGGAAACCTTTTGTCCTCTGAAGTGCCAATTACTACTTTCTCGTGACAATGGGCTGGGGCGGTAAAATGGTGTTTCGTGTGCCATCCTGCAAAGTCATCGTTGCAGAAAATGAACTGCAGTAAATTAACAAATGTTTAGATGCATTTACGTACCATTTTTGAAGTATCTTTGACATCCAATGCTATTCTGGTGTCAGCGAGAAATATTTCCCTTTGAAACCGAGAATCTGTAAATGAAGAATAATCTAAAGTTTTACAGATCTTCGTATATGCACGAGAGATGAAGGCTTAAACAGAGACTTGCAATATCTAAAAAAAATCTAATATCAAATGAAAAGAAAGGGACATAGGTATGAGAACCTGAATTCACATATGAGCGTCCAGAAACATCAAACGAGAAATGTCACATGCGCTTATTTAAACTTTCGAGGATGTGGAAGTGATTTTAATCACTTATAGCGATTTCATTTTCACAAGAATCAGGTGGCCTAGCAATATTTCAACTAAACAAGGAACTTTTCACTTTCAGAAATATACATGGATCCTGATGGAGAAACAAACTCTTTCTATCCTTTGAACCCCCCACCCCCCCCTATCACCCCCACCCCACCTCAATCTGACGCTCCAGGCGCAGCCCAGAAACAGTGAATACTGGCGTTTCGCAGCTCGTTCAAGTCTCCTTCATAACTGCAATGAGGTTGCACATCTAGCCCAAAACCGGACAATGCAGCAAATTTTAAACGAAAGCGTGAATTCCGTAAAATACCACGTGCCCAAAATAGAAATTTCATCCAATAATCCTAAACATTGGTGCGAATGGAATAAAAGGGTAAATTCCAAAGGATAATTCAAAAAGACTTTATCTTACCGCAACAGGAATCATATTCACCAATAAATCTTCGCGTAAGGAACCGAACTGTTAACGCTGGAAGAGAAAAACGACATTAGACCTAAAATTTTAGCATTCAGTTAGACCTGAAACAAGATTTAAATAGTTCAAAGTTAAAGGCGAAGAGGTATGGAGGGGTACAATGTTTTAGAAAAGGAGGCACTTTCCTTAAAATTGGCGGACAGTGGCCAAATGACCCAAAACCTTATGTCCCTCGTTGGGCGTGAGAAATTCTAACTGATAATAAAAATAGGGGTCCACCGAAACAAAGTACGCTTAAAGGAGGCAAAGCATCAGATAGCAACCCCAAAATGAAGAAAATAACTCAGTTGATTTGTATTCCTTAATTGATAACAGACGCCTGACCTACAGCTTATCCCAACGAAGTTCAATTTGGATTCCGATGCAGCTGTGAATATAGCCAGCTTGCGGCATTGCAGCTGCGGTGAAATACCAAAGAGGGCATACTTCGTCGGTAAATATGGGAGAAATTACGGCATCAGTAAACAGGAAGAGCGTCAATCAACATAACATCAAAACAGTAAATAATGTTCTGACACTGTCTGGCGGTGTAGCTTCAAGAGCCATCGGCAAATATTTTGACTAGCAAAAATATGCTGTTGTGTAATACGAGTTGGAGCAGTTGCGGGCGAACACGTGATTTTATTTGGAAATCTGTTTGCGGTTGTTTTGGATTTTATGCTATTTAAATAAAAGACAGAATTCGAGGAATCTGGACGGTTTTTCTACGTTAACGGGTCAATCCATTCAAATGCAGTCAAAATATGGAAAACGATTACAAGGTCCAAGACTACAGAATCCACTGTCTGATCTCGTTTAGGGGTTCTTTGTTGATCGACAAAAGTGGCCTACAATGCACTGGAGATGGGGCAGAGTTCCTGTTCCTTCTTACAAAGTTTAAAAAAAAATTGTTGCCAGAAAAGCTCCTACCCTTCGCCTCAACATAGCACTCAGCTTTCAGCTCAACGTAGCTTTCTCTTTAGATTTATGTTCGGTACACCAAGGTTTTCACATGAGATGGACCAAAAATTGCACAGAGTTTTCAAATATTTTAAAGCGCACTACCTTATGCTGACATTGTCAGTAACAAGCTGCATTAAGTAGGATTTAGGTCTCATGTAAAGTAGGAAAGCAATATAACGCCAGACATCCAGTTTTGTTGACTTTTAGCTATTGTTTTGACGCAATGGTTTATAAAAGGATAAGCTTAAGGTAACAGGCTGAAAAGATTAATGGATCGTTTGCTTTTGCATTGAAGCGGGCTTCAAAACACGTTTTGATATTCTTGCATAAAAAAATTACCATCTTAAACAGAGTGTGAGAATCCCGTATGCTTAAACGGAGTCACGAAACCACAAAACTGAAGAAAAAATAGCTGCTTGCAATAATAGACATCCATCTCAAAGCTAGCTCATATCAACGGTCCATAGTCTCTTCAACCTTGTAAAAAATATGGTGCCTGAAACAGCAACCGGACTAAAACAAATAGCCCCTTCAATAAAAGGTACCATGTCATCCAGGTACTCTTGTATTATGCAAGGTGTTGGGCTCCAAAAAAGAAAATGGCGTGAAGGGTTCAGAATGGGATCAGTCCTTTTGCTAGCGCTCAAATGTGGCTAATTCGTGCCACTTCAAGATCTATGTATGGCTCTCCATATGACACATTACAGCATCGATCAGTCAAAATTAACTGAAATAACAAAGAAACATATATTACCTGATTTTCCAGTGCGCTCTGAGCCAACCACAGCAAGCCGTATGTCGTTATCTGAGCTATTATGCTTCATTTCCTCGATACAAGATGCTGACTGGACTGACAGCCTCTTCACTACACCCTGCAAGTTGAGGAATCAATTAACAAACAGGCTAAAAGTAACAGCTCAAAAAACAAAACGAGGGACTATCGTTGAAGAAACAGGCTCAGGTTTTGTTAGATCAGATCAGGTTTGACTTTGGTTTAGGTTTGAGTGCGATTAAGGCTAAAGTTTTAATAGCTAAAGAGAAATCACACAAAAACAGACGTGCTGTAGAGTACACTGTTGAGAATACACATATTTTGCTTGCACAAACAAAGTATATATTCTTTTTTATATAAGACAATATTGCTAATCATTTTTCAGCTTTCCAGCTATTTTGCATTGCAATCAATCTCTAAAACTAGGCAGTTCATTTCAAGAAGCAGTTCACTCTTGCAAAAAAAATACACGAGGTTTCAACAATAACAAATGAATTTCTAGGAATTTCTAAGTTAAAACAACCGGACTTCCACCAGAGATACATAAGATTTCAATCGAGTGATTTGCCCCTCGGTTTATACAACAGATTGACCAAGACTGTATCCTTTGAATTCATCTCAAACTTAACGTGGAGACGAACCGACTCAATCGTATTTGCAGAAGAGACAAGTTTCTAGTCCAACGGGCATAAAAAATCCTGATAATAACCACAATGCTACAAAAAGCTCTCTAGGCCATGTAAAATCTAAGCTTGTTATGTGCTGGTTTTTATGTTTTTTTAATATCTTTATCTTTGTGAGATCCTTTATGAGTTTAGATCTAATTCTTTGTCTGACATTCCGAAAGTATTTGGAACCGGTGTATAGACGAGTCCGAGACGGTGTATAGTAAAACGATTGGAAAGTGTATCAAGTAATATGGTGCAAAACGAAAAAGATCAAGCAAGCATCGAAGAAAGAATTTCGGTTGATTCTGAATATTTTGCAACAATCGCCAGGTTGATGAAAGGTGGAAACCATTTCAATCATATATACTCAAAACCGTAAAGGAAGTATCAGATGATTTCCAAATAACTTCACTCAAAAATGAAACAGAACATTTCACAGCAAATGTTTTCTAAAAAGAAACACGTTACCGAAAAAACCAGTTATTGCTCTGTTTTCTTTGATTGCTGTGAGCTTCTAAACCAAACCAGCTGATACTATAACTATCGAAACAAACTCTTCTCTTATCACGTCTCTTTTCACTACGAAACACTGCAAGTTGTAATTTTTCTGCGATCTTCTGAACTCTGTCTGTAACAAAAACCTCCGTTTTCTGTGATGTGATCCGTCTTAGAACTCGTGTACACACATAATAAGCGTGTTTTCAAATAACCATGCTCACTTGATCGTCGCCGCAAATGTAAAGTCCGAATGTTTTGTGCAGAGACCATACCATTCAGGTATGACGTCAAAGAGGTCAATGGATAGGAGACACGAGGATCAACGAACAGACATTGCGCGGCGCTAAGATTCTTTGATGCGGAGTAGATTGGGAACAACGACTTTTCGGACGCAAATTGTATTCGAGAAAACAGTTAATCGGGCACTTCGTCACGAAAAAGAAAGCAGTAAAATAGATTAAAATCCAAACAATCGAAGTTTGCGAGGTCTCCAGAGATTGTATCGCAGATTTAGGCCAATTTCATACATTCTATTATGAAAACAACATACATTCTCAGTGAGTCACATTATTATTATTTGAAAAATTTTTCCTTTTGCGAACCCATTCACTTAGATAATATATTGTTTTGCCAGGCTGAAATAAAACTTACTGATAAAGCATATTTATGCAATTTAATGCAATTATTTGAATATTTAAAGGTATTTAAAAATATAAGAAAAGCAATAAACAGGACACAAGACTATCTCGGGTTTTGAAAGCTTCAAACCCAGAAAAACCCACACATTTTGCAAGATTTTCGCACTCCTTCCGGCGCGAGTGAACTGAATCCTAAATTGCCTTGTGCAAGAAACGCTTTTTTGGAAGAATTGGAACCATTCTCGGTTCCGATTTTTGTTCAAACCTGTGTCAATAACAAATGATCATAAAACCTTATGTTGGAACAATAACAGAAAATTGGAACAATAACAAACCTTTTTATTTGCCCCGAATAGCCAGTAGGCGTTTGGAAATCGTCTGTTTCAAAGCCTTTCTGGCCAAACATTTAACCCCGATTATCTTCTCGAAACCAAAAAGGATCAGTCACTAGGTAGATTCCAAAAATGTTGTAAATTTGCCTCGAAATCTTGTTCTTGTCAATGATTACATAACTGTCCCCAACAGAATATATGTTTTATAACGATGATGATGATGATGATGAATATTATTATTATTATTATTATTATTATTATTATTATGTTTCTTGTTTGATACAAGTGTATAAGAAGTTTTTATGCATCAAAAAAGACGCCATCATAAGTACATAGAATTATTTGGCGCCTGTCCACAGTGAAAATTTTATAAACGTTTTCTGAAAGCTATTCTTATTTCGTGCTGGCATGGTGTCTCTCAAGGACACTTGTAATCCAGTATGGAAGTGCTGCGACAGGTTTCCCTTCCATCTTTTTTTGATGGATGTCCTTTAATTTTCCTATTTCTCTACACTTGCTATAATGTATGCGTTGATGGTTCGGGACGAAGCAGGGCCTTGGGGCTCAGCCCACTTGGTAATTCCAAGAGATAGCCAAAATCATTTCTGATATTTTCTGAAATACACTATCAACTCCCTCCTCCCCCACTACCCCCAAAACAATGGCCAGACCTAAAATGAGTATGATACCTATGCCATACAGTGAAACTTATTTGATTCTCATATAACGTGAGCCTTTGAATAAGCTCCACCTTCAGATAGGCCCCCCTCAAATTGGCCCCTACCCTAAAGCATTTTGTGTGTGAAATCAGCCCCCACCCTTAAATAAGCCCCCATTGGTTGAAACATGCCTCGATAGCAATAGTTTCAATATAATATATCTTCAATTCCGAGCATACTGACCAGGCTGCTGCTAAATAAATAATCAAATCAGTAATTGAGAAAACTATATCTGGCTATTTGTTCTTAAATTCCCATTTTACATTGCCTACAGCAGGGGGAGTATTTTACATCAAGCAATCTTAAGGTGTGTCACATGAACTTTAAAGAAACACCCAGTTTTCAAGGCAAAACCCGATACATCGACACGCCTTATTTCGGATAAAAAGGAAAGCCCGAGCTCAATGGCTTTCTGACAGCCCCTCACATACGTATTCTTCGTCACTAATTCCACATTCTCTGCCTCTTACGTTTGTCAGCAAATTGGAATGAATGGATGTGAATTCGCTTGAGAAAGCAGCGTAAGAAATGGTTACACTAACTAAAGCCTTTATTGATCATTGCAACAATAATCGAGGGCTAGATAAGAAATCATGCCGAAACATTGTGTTTAAAAATAAACAGATTAATATCAATGTCCTCAAAGTGAATCAGGGATATTGAGGTTTATTTATAATAACTCAAGATAGTATCTTTATAGTACGCACACTCGTATGAATGACGGGAAAGTTTTCAGTGACAAATGGCTGAATTGTTTGTAGCTTAGTACTCATTTCGGTAACACGTGGTGATTTTCTCAAGGAAATTATTCATCAATGGTAACCTGTTATGCACCTTTTCAGATCATCGAGTTTATCCTTAATATTTTAATAAAAAAACACGAACTGTAAAAGCACCCTGTGCAAAAATTAAAGAATGAAAGATTTTCCGTGAAAAAATTGAAGTTTTCTGAATGATATTATACATTTAATCGTCATTTTATTGTATCTCTAATCTAATAAATCAAGCTACTAATATACAGTTTACTCCGGTAAAGCTAGACTCCCAAGGGTCCTATCCCAGTAAAGCGAATGTCCCGGTATGGTAAGGAAGTCCACAGGAAAGGCAGCGATGTAGTGCTACCAAAATAAAGGGGGTCCTTGCACAAAATGTTGCAAAAAACAATAGCAAAAGTAGAAATTTGCAAACTATCGGCATTAACAAGGGGGGCTCAGCCCCCTGAGCCCCCTTAGCACTATACATCTGGGGACAGGGAATACCTATCCCATTCAACTAAAGTACCACTTATCCGGGGTTCCATTTATCCAGAGTATTCTATATCGTAAATCAAAATAAAGGGCTGGCGCAAAAGATTACGTGTATAAGGGAATCTTTTATTACAAGAACCAGTAAATAAAGTGTTTAGGCCCTATTTGCAGATAAAGTAAGTGCGTCAATCACAAACACGTCAAGAAGGGTTTCATAAAATGAGTAAGATGGCCTTAACTAAAGATGTGACATTGATGTTCCATTTACCAAACATTTAGCTGATAGAACATGTTTAAAGAGATGTCATCTTACTGTAAATCTTTTTAGCAAGATAAAGTTATAGTCTGCAAGATGCCAAATCTCTTTTGACATGTGAGTGAAAGGCTATCAAGGGTACATGATCCAATTACTCCCAGCATTGATCAATTGGTTGTCAGGATTCTTAACATTGATAAGAAAATATGACCAAAACCAAAAATTTCTAATAGTTTATCAGAAGAGGTCTGCAAGTTCCTATACGTATTTCCTAAGCTACGAAGCCACACGCAAAGAATCAGAACCGATTCTTGGTCCCTGTAACTTAATTAGTAACCTTGGTTCTTCAGTACATCAGCAGGCTTTCTCTAACTTATCGATTTCACGAAATCTAACCTCCAAAATCTATTAAGACTTTATGGCCACCAATAACTCTATTTATTTGTCTATCAAAATATCCCCGGAGCCACATCTAATTTTCCAACTACTAAGCAATAAATCTAATTAAAATTATGATGTAAATTGGCGAAAGGTTAAAAGATGAGAAAGCCATACAAAAGTATACATTGACTTATAGAATCACGGTAAGTACTGAAAGGAACCACTAAATTAGCCAATTGGCACATTGCTTGAATGGTTGAAATTTAGCACTTTTGCGTTTTTAAAAAAATATCCTCAATCACGATAAACTATCAATTTCAAGACGATTTTGACGATTGCATCCATCTTTCGTTTCCAAGGG